AGGGTTGTGGATGCAAGCTGGGTGGGATAGAAAGAGAGAGGAAGTATCGGGCAGAGTAGCCCCTGAGGATGACCAGGAAGTGTAGGAGGGGTGTCTGAGTTCCCTGTCCCGGGCTGCTGCCACGGTCAGAAACTCACTCACCCCAGTGATGTCTCTCCTGGTGCCTGGACCAGAACTCCTTGCTGCTTGCTGTATCTCGTAAACAAAGGACCTACCTAGCTCGCTGCAGGCAGGCTAGTGGGGACAAAGGAGCTCCAACTCCATCTTAATTAGTGAGCTTCTTGCTGCTTCTACTCCAGGACCCAAAATTACTCACATAATCCAAGAGCCTGTTAGAAAGATTTGACTCGTGGCACCTCTGATCAGCACTGCAGATGCATGGGCCACACTCAAGGGCTGCTAAGTCTTGTCACAGTCAGCAGACTGCTCAGTTAGCAATGCAAGTGGCTAGGAAAAGGCAGACCAAGGACAGGAACACTGTCCCAAGAACTTGGCCTAAGTAGTATCACCCTACTTCAGTACCGTGAGTAGAATACTTAATAGTGACAGACCTCAGGAGAGCAAATTATTTACTCTTCTGCTATCACACCCACGGGCACCTTCTCCAAGGTCACAACCTAGATAAGTTTGAACACAGGAACACAAACCTCTTACTCAAGGGCTTGGCTTCCTTGTTTTCACGTGAGAGAGGCAGTGTGGAACAGACCTAAGAAAATGGCAATCTTTCACTAACTTTTTTCTTGGAGGGGAAAGGGGTCACAGGACAACAGCAATGCTGGGAACCAAACCCAGTGCCTGCTGCATGCTAGCATATTCTCTCACTGAGCTACATCCCCAGCATCTGCTGGATGGTTGATCAAGTCTCACCTGTGGCTTGGGGTAACACAGAAAGACAAGTTTCAGGCTAGCCCCAAGAATTAATCTTTTTGACAGAGGACAAAAAGATTGGCACGGTTCAAGGGTTACAGAGGAAGTGCTGCCCCATGGTATAAACATGAGGTAGGGGACCAGACAAGGCTTGCTAAGGGCTTCAGGATAAAACCAGAGCACTTGTTCTGGGAGTTGACATGTGGAAGGCAACTTCTGGAAACAAGCAGGCACCCAGGGGCGGCTCTGGAAAGCACGTACTTTCATGGTTTTCGGTTATCTTTCTCCTGGGACCTCTTTCTTGGCCATGGAAGGTTTTTTTTTTTTTTTTTTTTTCTGGACCATAGGAGAAGGCTGTGTGGATCACCAGCCAGGTTGGGAAGGTGCTAGGAGAGTCAAGGGAACGCCACCAGAGGTAGTCAATTCATTCCAAGAACAATAGTTCAAAGGTCAAGAAAGGCAAGTTTCTTGGGCTGGTTCCCCTTCCCTCCGTTTCTCCGTTTAAATACGAAAGCCAATGAAGACGAAGATGAGGAAAAGGAGGACAATGAAAGTGGCATCTCGGGTATCATTCCAGCGTAGCCCTTTGTTGGCCTGGTCCTCCTGCTTTTTGCGAAGGGCCTCCCTCAGGGCGCGCAGACACTGCTCTCTTTCTAGCTGTTCTCCATAGTGCGCCTGGTAGAAGGCGTCAAAGTCGGGAAAGGCCCGAGAGCCATAGTGAGCCCGAGGGGCATGGGGAGGAGGGCAAGTAGGAGGAGGGGAATATTCCGGGGGTGCCCTAGAGGGCCTGACACCGGGTCCGCGCAGGTCCTGGTCGCTGAGCAGACCTCTGTCATACTTGAGAATGACAAGTATGGTGCGATGGAGGATGGTGCTGCCCAGGACTCGATAAGCTTCGGCAATGCGCGTGAAGCGCTAGCGCTAGGCGGCCTCGGGGCTCCCGGGATTGCCATCAGGATGGTAGAGGAAGCTCTGCCGGTAGTACGCCGCTTTGATCTGCTCCTGCGTGGCCGTGGAGGGGACGCCCAGCGTCTCGTAGAGGGCAGAGCGGGAGTAAGGCCTCCCTCGCGAGCACCAGCCCGCGGCCGAATTTTGTGGCAACCCCCGAGCCTGCCACAGCCTCCATAGCGGTGACAGCGGCCAGCCCAGGCAGCGCGCGGCCGCCATGTTGTGGCGGGGACTGCCTATTTTGAACTTTTTACATGTGTTGACTCACTCAATTCTTACAGCATGTCTTTCAGGTGGTTACTGATAGGTTTTTCCTGTTTTATTTTTGAAGAACTGGAGGTACTAAGAAATTATATTGCCCAAATCCTCACTGCTAGATCATGGAAATGCCTGTCAGGTTTTGACAGTTTGTGGAATATCCACCTTGAAGATACTTTAAAATCTGTCCGTATCCATCTCTACTTTAGATGCCTCAGTTTAAGCCCTCTGTGTCTGAGGTGTGGGCTGATAATCTCTCAGCCCTTTGCTTTTTCCTTCAAGTCTGTTATCTACATAGTCATTGGAATGACAGGCAAAGGTCTGTTTTTCTCTCCCCAGTAACAGTAGCTTCCAAGCACCTGGAACGAGCATTCCAGATACTTCCACTTCTGTCCAAGGGTTTCCATTGCTCAGTTCACATCAGGCCTTCTGGTATCTAGTGTCTGTGAGCTCAGTGCTTTCTGAAGTCATTCACTGTAGAAACAGCGCTGTTTCCCTCCCTAATTCCTTCTTTGTGTTCTTTTTTTATTTTCTACTTTTGGTGTTCTAAACTTTCTTTCTCCCTCTCCTATTAGTTTTCTCATATTTTTTCTGCTGCTTGATGTATATCAAAAGAAGATTATATATGTATATATCAAAAGAAGATTATATATATGTATATATATATTTCTTTTTTCTTTTCAGAATTGGGTATTACTATTGCTAGTGATCTCTGTCTGGATCAGGTGTTTCTATATGTTCTTAGTGTCTTTTTCAAAGAATTGAAGAAGCACACACAATAGCAAATCATTTTATTCAAAGGTAAAGTGAAAGTAAAAGGTAGATACAGTGCTAGGGAGAGTGAGCTACCTGAGTTAGAGTGCTCAAGAGTACCTGGTTAGTATCCAGAGCTTCCTTCTTCAGGTCCAGGAGAAGCAGGAGCTGGTTGCTAAGAGCGGAGTATAGGCAGTTTTCTGTTTTGGTAGATCACCTTTGTTCACAATGTGTGTTTTCTCCACAGTGCATCTGATTGTAATCTTATGAACACCTTGTCCTGACTGGTCCTTATTTCTGGGTCCTTTTCCTTTTCTTGAGGGTGGGCGAACAGTACTAGAGGTTGACCCCACAGGCTCACACATTCTAGGCAAGTGGTTCACTACTGGATTATAGCCTCAGCATTTTATCTTAAAAAAAAAAAAATCTTCTGGGAATGATTTAGCCTATGTTTTCTGGTGATTCATTCTATTTTGTAAACAAAACAGTTTTTGCTATTGCTCTTTTGTTAATTTCCTACCTCTGAATCACAGCAAGACTTTTTATTCTTGTAGTCTAATAATACTCCTAACATGTTCTGCCAAATTCTGTGCTTTTCAACTTTTTGGATTTGTTTGAACAATATGTACTTCATTTTTTTCAGCCTCTGTATTTTGTTGCTTTTGGCATTGAGGTCTCCCCTATCCTGAACTTTACACATTCATTACACAAATGTGATCCTCTTCTGTTCAATGTACTTTGCATGGACTGTTAATTCCAGTAATTTCTTTATTATATTGATCAGGATGATATAAATGATTAGATTAGCCCTTGTCCTAGTTTTCTTTCTGATGCTGTTATAAAACACTGACCAGAACTAATTTTGGGGATGAAAAGTTTATGTGGCTTATACTTTTCAAGTTATAGTCCACCACTGAGGAAAATCAGAGCAGGAACTTTGAGGCAGGAACTGAAGCAGAATCCATAGAGAAATGCTGTTTACTGGCTTGATTTCTTGGCCCATTCAACTGTTTTTTTAAAAAATAGAACTCAGGGAGATGACACTGTCCACAGTGCCTAGTGCCCTCCCACATCAGTCATTAATCTAGAAAATGTCCTATAGGCCAACCCAGTGGTGCCAGTTCCTTAATTGAGGTTCTGTCTTCCCAGGTGACTCCACTATATGTCAATTGATGTAAAATAACCAATATGCCTGTGGTCACTAAATTTGTAGATAAGAAAAAAAGTGCTTTAGAGCTGTTCTTTGAGTAAATATGAATTAGATTTCTACCATATTAATCCATTTTGTTTACTGTCATTTCCATCTTTATTCATAGTGAAATATATTGACATGGGTGAATATATCTAATAGAGATGTACAAGTCCCAGCAGCTTGCTAGCACTGGCTTGTGAAGAATTGTGTAGGTACACAGTGAGGGACAAATTCAAGACCGCTGTTCAGACCTACAACTGAGGAGTATTGAGCACAGTGTATACTGTTCTTTTTATGCATCCATACCTATGATAAAATTGCTTAGATTGCTTACAGTCCCAGTACTTAAGAGGCAACGTTGGGAAGATTGCTGTAAATTGAGGCCAGCCTGGGATATATAGTAAGTACTAGGCTAACCAGGGCTAAACAGTAAACAAAACCTAGTCACAGAAAAACTAAAGATAAATAAGCAAATAAAGAAGAACTGCAACAGCTTCATAATTATAACAGAATAATCATAACATCTTTTTTATAAGAATTATGTGATTAGAGCCTATCGTCTCAAAATACCTTGATTCTTAGCCTTCTTATGAAGAAATGGTATCAAGGGATGATCTGTAATGATGTCCTTGCCCTTACCATTCAGTGTTGGCCATAGCTTCTGCTGTTGTCCTTGACCACACATGTATTACATGTCATCTTCCTTCCTCTTGGTTTAATGATGAAAATTCACTGCTGCCATAGATTTTGTTAAATTCACATATTTTTTTCTGTTTTAATAAATTGAGAATTTTCATCTTAAAGATGGTGGTTATGTGGACATTATTGAAATTACAGGCATTTATAACAAAATCAGCTGCTATGGAAATGCTTGTTAAATCCCCAGAAAACATGAGAAATCAGCTGACCTTTCTATGTTTTAATAGTAGATTTTAGTGTAAGCCGTTAAGTTTACTTTTACCCACAGTTGACTATGTTATATTTGCATGTTTCTCCTCATTACTCACACTTCACTTATTTTTTTTTTATGGTTGATTTTTCTAAAGTAACAGATGCCTGTGTTACTTGTGTGTTTTTAGTCCTTCCCCAGATGTGAGAGTAGTTTTACACTGGTGATAAAGAGAAGGAAGAGAGGGCAGAGTCCTCAGCTTTCCTTCTGTCCCTTGAGAATGGCTTGACTGTCTAAGTGACCTACGTGTCTGTTGACCTTTGGAAAGTGGCTTATGTTAGGTAACATCTGTGGACAGTTAATTATCATTTCCATCACATGGGTTTTGGATCATATGGTTTTATTTTGTTATCAAGAGAAGTAAAAGCTGAGAATATTTTCTATATGTATCTTTTTTACTGATGATATTTGGAATATTTTGTTACCCACATCTTTTTATTTTTGATGAGGCTCTTGGACTGGGAATGCTGTGACCATTTTAATATTCAATTTATAAAGTGACCCATAGGGTGTATTATTGGAACTTTACTTATGTAAAACATAAAAGTATTGTTATTTTTTAAATTATAAGTATGTCTGTTTATTAGAATCAGTTCCAAACAATAACACCTGAAATTTTCCAAATGTTTGCCTTGAGTTGTTTCTATTTATAATTTTATGGAACTAACTTTTTGATTATAAAAGTAATTTATTTTAATTTTATAAAACTTGGAAAATGCTAAAAGCATAATGAAGAAATGTGTATCATTATACATTTATCACTTTATCATTCAGAATAAGATTCTTAGCAGTTTAATAATTATTGCAACTTTCATCCTTGTATTTCATCATGTACTACTTATACATCAAAATGTATAAATGAATTATATATCAAAATGATGTATAAAACAGTACCATTATTACAGAGGAACTGTTAGATGTAGTTTGAATATTTGTATTTTTTGCCAGGCAGTGGTGGCGCACACCTTTAATCCCAGCACTCGGGAGGCAGAGGCAGGTGAATCCCTGTGAGGTCAAATCCAGCCTGGTCCACAAGAGCTACTTCCAGGACAGCTAGGACTGTTACACAGGGAAATCCTGTCTTGAAACAAAAAAAAAATTGTATTTTTCATTTATTATAACATTATACATTCAAATAACTAACATTTATAAATGATAAAAGAAAATTTAAACGTTTTTGCTTTGCTTTCCAGATAGGCATCAATTAGTAGCCGTGAAGTCTCTGCCTTGCTTCATGTTTATTATGTCCCTGCTTCCTCCCCACATCCCCTTGAAATGAATAGGACTGTACATTCTGTATTAATATATTTTGAAAAAGATTTATTTTTATTTTCTCATGGATCTGAGCCCCCCAACCCCCGTGTGTGTGCAGCGTGTGTGTGTGTGTGTGTGTGTGTGTGTGTGTGTGGCATACTGTGGGCCGTACTGAGCCGCAGTAGGTGGTACTAGGTTATATAAGAAATCAGTCTGACCAAAGTCATTGATAGCAAACCAGTAAACACCATCGCTCAGTAGTTTCTACTTCAAGATTCTGCCTCGTGTTCCATTCCTGTTTAGGTTTTCCTAACAGTGGATAGTGGACTGTAACCTGTAAACTAAAATAAACCCTTCCTTACCAAGTTGGGTTTTTTTTTATGTTTTTATCATAGCAAAGGGAACCTAACTAAGACACCTATATTTTTATTTTTTGAACCATTTTCTCAATTTCTGATACCTTTAAATACTTCAAGTTTCTTGTCCGTGCCTATGAAATAGCAATTTCTTATCCTATATAGCACTGGCAACTATATCACTGGTAAATATTTAGGACTCATGATCTGGCTTCTATGAGTGCTCATTACTCCTGAGTTATTATTGCTTTTGGTCCCGCTCTTTGAACAGAGTGAGGTAATATGTTATACTAGCCATGAACACATATACATATTTAGTTTCGAATGGCTCACTTAGTAATTTGATGGTTTTATTTTGAGAAGCACCACTCTGTCTCTTGTTAAACATTTATTTCCTGATGTTATTGTAGTAGTATTAGTTTTTAAAAATATTACATACTGTCATTGTCATTTTTAATACTTGTACG